GTTTGTCAAAGACTATCAACATGGGATCTAATTTTGAAGATCTCGACGCGAGAAATCCAACGGCGAAAGCGGTTCGAGATTTGGACGCACGGTTTAAGAGATAAAACGTTTTGAAAAAACAGATCTATGAAAAAAAGAAAAAACTCACGGGTTGCGACAAACGGCGCCCAAGCGCGCCGCCACTTGTCGCAACCTGGGAAAAGTTGGAGTGATCTTCGCAAGAAGTACTCCTTAACTAGTGATTTCGATGGTTGCATGGTATTCTTTGTGTTACTTCTTGGTGGATGAATTGTTTGTTTTTTATAGGCTACAGTAAACTGATATAACCATCACCGGTGGCCATCAAGACTAAAATGTGTAACAATGGTACAACCAAACACGGAACATTTTTTTACCTTCCTCCCAAAACAAAAACCACATGGAATAGCAGGCCAAGCCGGCACCGACAAAAGAAAACACAATGACATCCATCATAATTAAAGCCCAAACCAACAAAGCTAAAACCAAACTGAAACAGTCTACTTTAATAATCGGGAGTCTGGGAGCTCTGGTCTCGCGTGTAATACGCACGATATCAAGCAAACGAGCCCGGCCACGAGCCATATAGCGCTATGTGCATATTGCACTGGTGATTCTCGCGTGTAATAAACATGATAATGAGAAGAAGAAAAACCATTAGAAGAAACAAAAGAACCAAATGAAACGTTCCCAAAATCGAATGTACTTTCATTATTGAATATCAATCGCGTGTTTGGGACTATTATGCATGACCGACCCAACAGCATCTGCGGGGGAGTCCTTGTTTGCTCAAACACTTCTGTTGTATTCACGAAATATGATATCCATAATAACACCCTTGGGACAAAAACAAAATTAATTCTCCAACTAAAACATGGAGCCACAGAGCACGTTTTACCCTCTAGTATGTCTCTGATCCAACAAGGACAATACTTATGACTAGAATGAACAAAATGTGGTGCGGACGATAAATGATATCGGAGCAACTTCAACGCAACGATGCAAACAGACATGAATTTTGTCTGTTTTTTGTTCGTTTGAGCCGCCATCCGCACAACAGACATGGGGCGGACACGTGCGGCCAATCGATGTACCCAATGCGCAAGACACGAGAAGGACATGCGAGGCTACCGGTGAGAAGGCGCGGGATGTTTGGGACGCCGCGCAGGTCGTCCTCCCCGGCAAGATCTAGGCATGGCGGCTCGGTTCAGAAAGGAGGCGGCGGCCTGCACTACTGGGCTTGCCGGTGAGCGCGATGGCGACCTGTGCCCAGTGGCCTCGTCGGTGCGTGGTTCCTCATCGCAACAGTTGTGGAGGCGGTGGCCCAGCTCGTGCGGGGTTGCTGATATGTGGGACCAGGGCCGACATAAGAGGGCACCAGCCGACGATGGGAGCGTCCGCTTCATCAAATTTTGGCCCATATTTGCGTCAAGTTTGGCTGGGACATGCGATAAACAGACACCAGGTAAACGGTCACTTGGTTGGGCCAAGTTTTTTGTCCGGATGACCCAAAAGGATCTGCCCATTGGAATTGTCCTCATCTCACCTACTACCTCGGTCCGGAAATACTTGTCTTCGAAATGGATAAAAAAGATGTATCTAAAACTAAAATACATCTAAATACATCTATCTCTCGGACAAGTATTTTCGGACGGAGGGAGTACTTGCTAAGAAAGCAAATCTATATTGGACCATCTAAAAAAAATCTACATTGGACCGAGAGCATGGAGAGCATGACTCTACCCAACAAAATCTCATAAATTTTGTTGACAACATAGCAAAATCCCATAAAAAGTTGACAAAACAGCAAAATCTTATATTTACGGTAAGAACTCCACGAGATTCTGAGAATTTATTCCCCATTAATTTCAACGATAGCTATACCAGACAAACCTCAGTTTTTCGGTCGCGTCCCAGGCTCTGTCCACCCGCCGCCAACACGCATGCAACATCATTTAAAAACGATCCGAGCCGAGCCCGACCTGGCACACATTTCAAATTCAAAAGAGGAAGG